TGTATTTAAGAATTAAATTTAGGTACTAACATAGGTTATAAGTTTCATATTTACTAACAAATTTTATGGATGCTTTGTTATCTGAAATAAATTATTATTATTATTACATTATCACATATATATTGTCACAAAACTATAATATTATAAATATAAATACAATCTATATAAATAATATTATTATTTCGGCTATTATCCACCGCGGCGAGGAATCCTAAGCCATCGGTGAAATTAGGCATCCAAAGATAGGAACCTTCTCACTATTCGAGCCGTATTTAATAAGGCCGATTTTTGAATTAATCCCTTCAGCCATTTGCCCAAACCCAACTTGGATAGATAGTCGTTCATAGTTTTACCAATAAGCCCATTGACTGAAACAACTATTGGTACAATAATAGTAGAATCAACGTCCCACATAGCGACAATCTCATGAGCCAAGTCGATATATTTTATCTTTTTATCATTCTCTGCTTTCACGAGATTCTCGTCATGAGGAACACTGATATCCACTATTATTGCCTTGCGTGCAGTTCGGTCTATCACCACAATGTCAGGTTTATTTGCCCCTATAAACCTGTCTGTGATAATTGACCGATCCCAGTACAGCGTGACACTTCTATTTTCAAGGACTGGTTTTGGTTCATACTTATAATATGGAACGTCCTGTTGAGTAAAACCAAATTTAATCGCAAGCTGCTGGTGTATTATTCTAGCTACTTGGTTATGTCTGTGCAAATACTCGCCATTTGATAGTTGTGAACAACCGGAAATAACATGTCTGAGGGACTCTCCAGGGTGGTGACATGCGCGACATACGTCAACTGTGCCATCCCTCAAAATGTACTTCCGGTAGTTATTCGTTTTAATTACTTCGTCTTGTATTGCACAGATAAACCCTTCAGTTTCTGCAAAAAGGTCACCAAACTGTAACCAATGTACTGATGCAACCATGTCTACACAAGGATTAGTCAATGTTTTAAAAAATCGACCATGCAGTTGTTTGTCATTCCAAACCTTTTTGCGTTCATGTATAGTCATAGTATGAGGCCACTGCCAGTCCTTTGCCGACATATTAAGCGGGGTTAATGATTTGTCATTAATCACTACGTCACTATGAATGCGTGATGTGTCTTTTTTTTTAATAAAATAGTCTCTGAGGTTGTATACTTCACGGTTGTGTAGGTTTTTAATGTTTAATAAGCCCCGTCCACCATCTTTTCTTGGAAGATACAACCTCATGACAGATGATCGCGGGTGGTGCATTCTGTGCGTAGTTATTAATGTGCGGACTCGTCTATCTAAGTCATCCAATTCCGTTTGAGACCATCTTGTAATACCAAAAGTATATAGAAGGCTAGGTATTACCCAGGAGTTATATGCTCTAATTTTGTTTCCGCCAGATAAATGACTTTTGATAACTTTTTTTAATCTTGACATAAATTTTACTTTTGAATTTTCTTTAATGTTTTTGTCATTAATTCCTAGCGCTTCTGCCATGCCCAAGTATTTATAGGTTTCTGTCTCAGAAAGAGAACTGAAATGTAAGTCATCTGTAATTGCAAAATTATTACAATCTTTAATTTTGCCCCTATTTACGTTTATGACAGCACATTTATCTATTCCAAATTCCATTCTAATATCATTGTTGAAACTATGTGTTAATTTCAACAATAATAATAGATCACTCTCTTTTGATGTGAATAGCTTGAGATCATCCATGTAAAGTAGATGTGAGATGGGTGAGTTTTCTTTTCGAAACCGAAAGCCTAATCCAGATTCCTCAATAACAGTGCTTAAAGGATTCAGGGATAAACAAAACCAAGTTGGGCTCAAACTATCGCCCTGGAATATACCCCGCTTAATATTTATAGAGTCTATCGAACTACTTTGCCACTTACCTGGTAGATTTAGGATAGTGTTCCACTGACCCATTAATTTACTTAAAAACTTACAAATTTTGTCATCTATTTTATATATTTCTAAAACTCTCTTTAGCCATGAATGTGGAACAGAGTCATATGCCTTTTTGTAATCCACCCAAGCAGCGGACATATTTTTGCGATTACGAAAAACTTGTCGGCAAATAGCTGTGTCAATGAGAAGAAGTTCTTTACAACCACGTGACCCTTTCCGACATCCGTTCTGTGCGGTTGACAGAATGTTATTATTTTCCAAATGTTTATAGATCTTGTTATTTAAAATTGCAGTTATTAATTTGTATACAGTTGAAAGGCATGTTATAGGTCGGTAATTTTTAGGTTCCGTGGTGTTTCCATTTTTATATAGTAAGTGGGTAATACCAGTTGTAAGAAGTCTCGGGAGCTCAATTATTATTATTATTATTATTATTAAACATAGGCCTCCTCCTACAATTGGCTAGACGGTTACCTACCGCAGTTTTTGATTATTTTGAATTGTGGTCAAGAAGATGCTATGCCCATCACCTGATTCGGTTTCCTCTGTCACCTGTTATGTACATATTTATTGTACTTCATTAAGGTACATAACTTCACCTGTCGTCTATTAGCCATATTCAGAATATTATGGGTATTGATAACAAAATTAATTAGTCATATTACAAGGTGGATTATATCAGAATTTCATGCAGAAGTTGCGTATCCTTTGTATGCCTTTTTTGTTTTAAAATACAAGCGAGGGCCCTATGCTATGTCATAATAGTCTAGATGCAAAAGAACAAGGGACTCCAATAAAAATGTGTGTACATTTTTTAAAACAATCCAGTATATTGTGTAAAATTTATACCTAAATAGAATCAAACTGTGACAATCGTATTACTAGTAAGGATTTAGTATGTTTTATTGTCCATTCATTCTTTTACCAATGAACGGATAAATTAGATTTTGAAATGTTTCCCTTTATCGACATAATTATAACTTGAGGAAGAATTTCAATTAGACAAACGCAATAAATATAAAATAAATAAATAACTTTTATTTATTTTGACATAAAAGTATTACAGTAAATGTTTCATTGAATCCATAGCAATAATCAGAAGCAATATGCGAGAGCAATCTGAAAACATTACGTTTTAGGTACATGTGCGCACTAGCGACGTCCGGCAGTGCGTGTTATGCGTGCAAAGGACTTCTTTTGCCTGTAGCATTGAGATTTCTGTGCATAGAATTTATTCGGTAAAAAAGAAACAACAAAAAAACTTGCACAACAGTAAGCAAACCACGGTAATCATCTAACAATAATCGTTATAAACAATCTCACCTTGGGACATAGACCTTATCTTATTGTTCGAATTTCAATGTCTCTGATTCACATTTGAATAGTGCAACTTCATCATATATTGTAAATTTTTTATCAATTAATTTAATATTTTTCGATAACATATTATTCGAGTTAAGCACAATAACTTATATATATATATATATATATATAAGTGGTGGCTATGTAAAAATATCCACTACCCAATAATATCATCCCGTGGGTGTTGTAAGAGGTGACAGAGAAGAAAAACCGAGAGCGTCTCCAGCAGCGTCTCCCAAATACCAATTAAAAATTAGTAAAAAATAAACTGCGGTTGCCGACTCGCTTGCTAAGTGGCAAATATGTATATAATATTATATGTCAAATACCCATTCTCTGAACAAATCTGTAATGGTAAACCATTGTTTCATGAACACAAGTCGTTTTTTATTTGTTCTTTCCATATTTCTTGTGAACATTGCGTTAAAGTAACAAATTAATTTAATAAATTGGGAAATTGCATAATAAAAACGAAAACTCAAATAATAATCATTTATTTCATAAAGGAATTCAATTTCTATTCTGTGGAATTGATAAGGGCGTGATCCATCGGCACAACTGTGGCGCAGGTGCTCTATATACAGGTTGTCCTATTATACAACATCTTGTTAATAAAAATGAAGTTATACAGTTTCTGGCAGCAGAATATATATATATGATAATCTTGAAATTATTTAAGTGAAGTTAGTTTTTACGGATTTTATCGCGTGTAAAAACTTATTTTATATTACTGACGTTTCGAGTACTTCACAGCACCCATGGTCAAGTAGGTACACGCACGAAGGGGAAAGTATTAATCGAGCGTAGAAGCTCATTAACTCATTTTGTTGTTGGTACCTTAAAGAAAATATGTTTATCTTTTTCTGAGAGTGCACCTGTGCTTGTGCATACCCTCGAGCATTATAATTTATTGCAGTAAATTTTAGCAAATATATAGTAATTCTGTGTCAATTTCTTACGTGGCGTTCACTGTTAAGATGTTGCCGATTTTTTATGTTTTGTAGCATGGGGCTTTTTGGCACAAGTTTGACGCTATTTGGAATTCTGTACCAAATAAACCCTTTTTTGTGTGTTTTAGTTTTAATAAGTTTAAGATCGCTATCTCAAATAGCCCTAAATATCTATCAGTGTATAAATTTAAGGGGAAGCTTATAGTTTCTTTTTTTATTTTATATTATAGTTCCAGAAATATGATGCGTACTTACCAAAGAAAGTACACTAATTTCAGAAAAGGTAAATCTTTTGCACCGTATCATAGTTATTCGAAAGAAAATTTGGAAAAAGCGATAGAGGCTGTACAGTCTGGAAAACTTAAGTTAACCGAAGCTGCCGATGTTTATGATATACCAAAGAGCACACTATGTAGAAAATATAGAAACATAAATTGCACGCAAGATAAAGCTGGAAATCCAACATTGTTTAGTCCCGAAGAGGAAAATTCATTTATACGAAACATATTAATTTTAAGTGAATGGGGATTTCCCTTCGACTGTATGGATCTTCGAGTACTAGCTCAAAAATATTTGAACAAATAGGCAAAAATATATATGGGCTTAAAAATAACTTACCAGGGACTGATTGGGCACGTAATTTTCTTTTAAGACATAAATCAGTAATTTCAAATCGCTAATATTTCTACTGATCGAGCTAAAATTACAAATTACGTAATTGACAGTTTTTTCGAAAATTATGTGAAGTCTGTTGAAGGTGTTACTCCAGACTGCATTATGAACTATGATGAGACCAACCTCACAGATTGTAAAACCTATATTTATAAAAGAGGCACAAAGTACCCAGAAAGAATATTAAATAATTCGAAAACAGCAATTTCACTCATGTTTACAGGTACGGCACATGGTGAGTTGTTACCAATATATGTGGTATATAAATCAGATCATCTATGGGATACGTGGCTAGAAGGTGGACCTGAAGGGACGAGGTACAGTCGATCAAAAAGTGGGTGGTTCGATGCAGTCTGTTTTAAAGACTGGTTTAATACCATTATAGTACCTTACGCACATAAGATAGCGGGCCGAAAACTTCTAATCGGAGATAATCTGTCGTCTTATTTTTCAGAAAACTTACTAAAGACTTGTAAAGAAATAAATATTGCATTTGTGTGCTTACCACCGAAAACCACACATCTGCTTCAACCATTAGATGTCGCGTTTTTCGCTCCGCTAAAGACATACTGGCGAGATGTATTAACTCATTGGAAGTTAATGGAAGAGCGGAAACATAAAACTTTGGTTAAAAATTCATTTCACAAATTATTGGGTCAACTAAAAAACAAATTGGTTAAAAGAGGTGCTGTATCTCGTAATCTCGAAGCAGGTTTTAGTAAATCGGGTTTATATCCAATCAACCCTGAACTTCCTAAGTCACGACTGCCACAAAGGACAAATGTTACAGATCAACAAATAAATAACACTACATTATTAGTAGTAACAGAAATTTTGCAAGAAATAAGGAATCCTCTAGCGCCTGCACAAATAAGACGAAAAAGGAAGTGTGATGTACAGCCCGGGAAAAGTATGACAGCAGCAGACTTGGTTCAAAGTGAACTTCATACAACTACGAAGTCAAATAAAAAAAAAACAAGAAAAGCCCAAGGGTAAAAATATATCGGGTCAGAAAAAAAATTACATCTGAAAACTATGGAATAATTTCAAATGAACCCATGCAAGATCATTCAGGAATATGCAAAAACCCGAGACAAAATAATTTTGGTTGCTATGACTCTGACATGACTAGGGATTATATTTCTGATGAAGAAGAAAAATTAATTTATTCGTTAATAAATTATTTTGTCGTTAATAAATTATTTTGTTCGTTGTCTTCACAACGAACAAAATAAAAACAATAAAATACGAAAACTTAAGTTCAAGAAAATGAACACAGATCAAACTATTTGCAAGACTGAAGAATGTGAAGATAATATTTCACTACATGAGCAAATTGAAATTTCAGAAAAACAAGAATTAAAATCATTAAACATACCTAAAGAAAACTTTTGTGATCAAAATGTATTCAAACAAATAGTTTTGGACATAATTACAGAGTATACAGAAGAAAATTATAATATATTTTTTATATGATAAGGGTAACAAACGAGCACACAGTCCACCTGATGGTAAGTGGTTGCTGCGGCCCAGAGACATCTACACAAATCTATTACAAATCAAAATGTAGATGCGTTGTCACCCGTGAGGACTAAGATGGAATGCCTCATTTCCAGCAAAAAGGGCCTCCGGCCACCTGCACTCACCAAGCGAAACGCAGAGGTAAACCTCTACTTCACGCTGGTTTTCTGTGAGGTCGTGGTACCACCCCGGTTCGAGTCGGCCCATCCGTGCGACAGCAAAAGCTGCCGAGTGGCTGTAACACTGTTAAAAATAATAAATTATATATAAACAAAAAAACTCTTAAAAAACGACGACACACACCTGGAATGGACGATTCAGAAACATATATTTTTTAAAAAAAATATATATTGAATGAAGAAACAGGGTTTATGCAAAAATTTATAACTACCACCGCCATTATAGAAAAACAGAAGTCTCCCGTCTTGTCTGATAAACCAAAATTGAAACCAAAAGCTCATAACGATTTTGAACAAGAAAAGATTAAAGTTGACTACAATAATATTAACACTGGTTCTAAGGAAAATATTGAAAATTTCTCAAATAATGAAATCATAGGCATGGTGAAACGTAAGTCACGTGCATACACTTTTAGTAATAAAACAAAAAATAAACCAGCCAAAAGATTAAACAAATTGAAAAGTACTGATTCAACAACTACTGAAAAAATTTCAATGAGCGTACACAGTGATAGTGATTTATATGACGTCGATCTTGAAAAAATTGGAAATTTAAATGACATTGACCTCGAACAGACAGATCTAGATATTTTCGATCTCGAAGATGATGAGTTGTTAAAGAGAAAGAATGATGAGAGGGAAGCTGAAACATTTTATGACATTATGCGCATGGACGCAGAGAATGCCACAAATAACAAAACGGAAATTAAGACGAGCTTGAATGAATATGGATACTCAGAAATTCTTCTGAGAATTGAAGTAACAGATGAGGACAAGACTGAAGAACAATTACAGATTGAAGAACAAATACAGACTGAAAATAAAGACAAACCTAATTATTTGAAACACAATATTGATAAAAGAGAATGGAACATAGGAGATAATGTTCTAGTTAGATATTACCATAAAAAATGGCAATATTACATCGGCTTAATTACTGACATTAATGATCTAATTGAAAAAAAAAACCCTACTACAAAACCATTTCTCAAAAAGGTGGTATCTTATTTAAGAAACCAAAACGTTTAGATGTAGATTACTTACCTGATGATATAATTGTAAAGCAAGTAGATTTGTTGCAAATCAATGAAAATAAGGAATTTATCTTGTTTAATGATGAAGATTTATTATATTTTTGATTGCCTTTTAATAATGTCGTAACTAATATCAGTGTTTGTCAAAGCAGTAGTTTTCATAAGTTAACTCATGTTACCTAGATTTGTATTGTGGTTTATTCCTTGCCAAATATTTAATTTTTTATGTTTTTTGATTTAATATTTTTACCTATTTAATATTTTATAAAGATCTCATTGTTCAAGTTAATTTTTAGCTTACCCTTAATTGTTCCAAATATTGCCTTTAATTCTTATATAATTGTTAGAAGACAATTACTTTAGATTCCAAATAGCCCTAAGTAGCGCTTCGCCCTTTTCATAATAAATATTACGATACTAAATATTTGGCTTTCTACTTAAAATTAAACTAAAAACATATGTTATAATGAAAGACCATATATTTTTCTCTTGGTTCAAATATCGCAAAACCTGTTTAAATCGATTGTTCTCCAAATAGAGGTGGAAAACGAAGTTAAAATGATGCCGATTTTAAAAAGCTCCATATCGGCGATATTTAGAATAGCACTTTTGAAAAAAAAAATATCTCGGTATTTATGTTCAATACATAAATACTACAACATTTCTCTGGAAGATATTAATGAGATTTATCGTAAAAAAATTGTTTAAGCTCATAACCTTAGTAGTCTTTGTGTACGAGACTGGTTTTTACAAAAAAATTACCAAATAGCCCCACTTTACTGTAGTAAAAATGTATCATTAATTTCTATTTGGAACAAATATGTGTATAAAAGTAAAATCATTTACAGATAATATCCATTTGCATCTTGTTTTGTAGAAATTAGAAAAGTCTCATTTTGATTTATAATTATGGGTTGGGGACAAAGCAAAGAGGAAATTCTAGCAGTCGCCCAAGCCAAAGTGTAATGTGGAGTCGAAATTTAACCACTTAGCAATCATAGCATTAATCGTAGTCATATTGTTAGGGTCCATAGTACTATGGGTATTAAAACTTCAGTGCCTAAAGTCTACAAAGACATGGCTAAGGAATCAAGTTGTGGTTAACGGAGGACTGGGGCACCCGGTCAAAAGTGTACAATCCGATCCCTAGCAATCAACAGCGCAGCAATCAAGTATATATTGAGAACGACTGCGTGTGTGTCAATATTTCTTAAAGGAAACTAAATTTTTTGTTTTCACGAAACTTGTATTTCTATTTTTATACGTATAAAGTGTGCTATGTAATAGCAATGGGTGGTAATATTATGTGTATCCGGAACATATATCTTTTAATGGGTCTATTATATATTTACAATGATTTGGGATATGTATTTATTATCAGAGTCTGAATATTTATTGCCAATAAGCTGTTTTTGTACAATTTGCGGTTGACATTGCAAATAAATATTACACAGTTTACCCATATCGGGCATGCAATAAAATAATTAAGAATAATTAAGAAATAATAAAGAAATAAAAACTTTATATAAATTAATTTAAAATATTTAAATTAAATTATATAAAGTTTTTATATAAATTAATTTATGTTTATTTAAATTATTAAACACATTATATATTAACCACTTCTTGAGGTGTATTTTATTTAAATCTTGGCAAATCCATAGTTTTTATATCAGGTGGCAGATGATTGAATACTTTAATACCTGTACAAAAAGTGCTCTTTAAAACATGTAATTATTAATTTTAGGTGTACATAAATTGGTCTCACATTGGCTGCGTATTAGACGTGAATTCAAGTTAGATTTAATCTGAAAATAGTTGTTATTCTGTTTGCTAAAATAGTAATAGTATTAATTTATATATAGATGTTAAGTTTCATATCGTCGTCACTATGGTTCCATAAGAGAAACCCATGTAGTCTTTATTTTTAGACTTGATATTTAGTTAGTGATAAATACCAGTTTTCATTGTCTACCAGTATGACGCAATGTATATAAATACCTACGTGTTAACGAGTATCGCCGTGATAACAATCCCAAATATAGAATTTCATATGTGAGCGTAATTTTTTGTCTTATGTAGGTCACTCAAAAAGTTTTGAGATATACAAAAAGTATTCCAGATACTATTAATATATATTTTACATCTTTTCAAAATAGTCTCTATTATGCTCTATACAAAGTTCCATTCGCCTAAAAAACTCTGAAAAAAATTTTGAGACTTGATCTGACAGGTCGAAAATCACTTCTTCGTAGGCAGCCACGGCTTCTTCGGTGCTTGAAAAAAACTTGCCTTTTATTTTTTCTTTGACTCTTGGGAACAAAAGAAATCACAAGGAGCTAAGTCAGGGCTATAGGGTGGGTGACTTAGAGTTTCAATACCAGATTCCTCAATAAATGCTTTTGTTCTAAGAGAGGTATGTGAAGAGGCGTTATCGTGATGCAGCATGATTCCCTGAAGCCCGGTCTTTGGTCTTCCCTCCCAAACAGCTTGAAAAGCTTTGGGAGTGCAACTGTAGTTCAACCATTCATAGTTAACTGATCTACAATTTTTCAGCATTGACGTCGACAAATGTCCGGTAAAACTTCCTGAGATCGATAAAAGGCAGTCATACACTCCAATTTTATTTGTATGATTATATATTAGGTGTATAGAAAAATATTTAATTCTAAGTGACATGCAAATAACCCCTTGACTTCGATAAATGGCAGTTATTTTAATATTACGTAAGCAAGGAAACATTTTGACAAGCGAAAGTTACGCATTATGTTAATTTAAACATTAAAATTTTAAATGTATTTATTTCCGATACAATACATAATAATTTCTTACATTTATGTACACGAACGCGATCATCTGAACCATCTGTATATTGAATCTGTATTATGGTTGCAGCATATACCCTGCAACAGAATTCTAATCAAATACATACTTAAATAATTTTCTATATATTATTAAATTATCAGTTACTTGACTCCACAGAATCAGTAATTCATTCATTGGAGAATAAATAAACTGTTATAAGAAATTCCAGAAAATATAATGTTTTTCTATAAGCAGTTTTAATTTTTTATAAAATGAAGACTGTATTATATTGTGTTTTAGGCGCAGGTTCGGCCTCACATGGAATACTGTTCCCATCACTGTGCCAGTGCCAGCTCCTTCCACTTGACCGCATCCAGCGCAGAGTGATTCGAATCGGTGACGACCGAGTTCTTTCCGAACGGCTTGACTCACTGGCACTGCGTAGAGATGTTGCATCTCTTTGCGTATTTTATCGCATTTACCACGGGGAGTGCTCTGAGGAATTGTTCGGACTAATTCCAGCCGCTCAATTTCACCATCGCACATCGAGACAAAACTCGCGATACCATCCATATCATCTAGATGATTGGCGGTCCACCAAAACTCGCGATACCATCCATATCATCTAGATGATTGGCGGTCCACCACTATGCGATTCAGAAGAAGCTTTCTCCCTCGCACAACTTCCTTGTGGAATCGATTACAACCAGCGATTTTTCCGGACCGATATGACATAGGGACCTTCAAGAAAAGAGCTTACTCCTTTTTAAAAGGCCGGCAACGCATCTGCGATTCCCCTGATGTTGCAGTTGTTCATGGGCGGCGGTAGTCACTTACCATCAGGTGAGCCGCATGCTCGTTTGCCCCCTCTCCTATAAAAAAAGTGTTGTCAGTCTTTCGCCGCTGAGGCCATAAGGCTATGGAATAAATCACGTCCTCATATCAGGAAACTGACTTCTGTTGCAGCCTTTAAAAGAATGGTGACTGATAACTACCTTTCTTCTTTCAGCAACTGACCTTCTTATTTAAATGTTTCTGCATAAGTGTATTATAAATTACTTAATATGTTAATATGTTTGTATGTAAGTATGCTTAAAATGTATGTATTGTGTATTGTTTTAAAATTATGTATGTTTATGTATCAGGTATAGAGTATATTATTAGGCTATGATAAGGTTATTTTTGTTTTTACAGTTATAGTATGTATATGTTTATATTTACATTCACGTATATATTCTCAAGTTTTTATGGCACCTGCTTAAGTTTTTTTGCTTAGCTTGTAGTTGACTGGTAGAGAATGCCTAAAGGCATTAAGTCCGCCAATTGTACAATAAAAATATGTGCAATAAAGATTTTAAATAAATAAATAATAACCAATGGAAATATCGTGATCACATTCCAGCTGCTACGTAAAGGAGTCTTGTGAGTAATCATACAATCTATATTTTTAAGTGTATGTGGTTACTATAAAAAACTTCCTGCTGGGTTCTTTGTTTTTTGACACGATTTATCCCCCATCATCTCATGGTAAATTTAGGGTCTCCCAACCAATAGTAAAGATTTAACTGGGAAGTTTTTTTTTTTTTAATTTATGTAAAATAAAAAATAAATCAATTTCATCATAATGACATGACACATTGTACCGTAGAACCATGCTACTGCTGTGTATAATAACCAAAAAAATGAATGGATTTACGAATAACCATAGAATAAACGGATAAAACAAGAGTACAAAGATATTCTGTTTGGTAAGTTGAGCGTTAAGATCCGAAGACGCAATTTACTAGTGAATAATTATTGCATCATAGTCATCGAGCATGACAATGCACCTGTTTTTTGATCCTTTATCCGACGATGTATGTGTTTTGAGGGCCACGTTATCTACTTACACCTCTGAGGACTAAGATGGAATGCCTCGTTTCCAGTAGAAAGAGTCTCCGGCTCTCTAACCATACGATAAGCAAGCTGCTATTTGATGCTAGTATTCTGTGAGATCGTAGTCCCTCCCCGGCTAAGCTGAACCAATTCGAGCAACAACCATAGTATAGGTGCAGGATGGCCACACGTACCACCACGTTAAATTGGGTACAACGAATGCAATGACTGCCCTACATTTGTGCATCATAGCGTCTGTTTAAGTAATTATTCATTAAAGAATTCTTTTATTTACTTACAAATACGTTATTTAAGTATTTAAAGGTATTCACATATTATCATCATCATTACATCTCTTTACAAGTCTACTGATGAACATAGGTCTCCCCCAAGGTCTGCCACAAAACACGGCCCTGAGCCACCTGCATTCAACGACTTCCTGCCTTGTCTTACCAGGTCGTCCATCCATCTAGTGGGGGGGCCACCCTACACTTTGCCTACCGGTACGAGGCTGCCACTCGAGAATCTTTCTTCCCCGTCAGTAGTTGGTGCCTGGAGTATTATTATTATTTGTAGTATTCATATATAAAAAAATACACTTTTGTATGGCGAAGAAAATTCAAAAAAGGAAATGTTAGCAAGTTTAGCTAAAAGGAGTCGCAGAATGGAGGATTGATTAGTGTTTGTTATAAATCACTAATACTATAAATACACTGCTGCTATTACATATTTCGATTATTACTAAGTGGTTTCAATCAAAAATTTACAATCAAAAACTACTGGTCAGACCTTGATCAAATTTATATGGGACAATATGAAAAGAACCAAAGTTAAAAGAGTTAATTTTTCTGAAATGATAAGGAAATAGCTAACAAACTTCTAAAGGGATCATCCGAAGGATGGATGGAAACATATTGTAAGGTAGTTTAATTTATTATTTGTATCAGACAACTGTAATTGAAGTAACAAATATCACAAACCAACTGAGGTCTGTGCTGATAAAATTTCATTTTCATTTTTGTGGGCTTAATATTATGAGGTCAATTGATAGAACAATAAATTAATTATATTATAAATTAATACAGACTAATAGGAACTAAACTAGGAAAGTTTTTAAAAACTCCCTACTATTTCGTTCTATTCATTATAGATATGATTTAAAATTAAAAATTTTGTACAACCGACTTCAATATAACTTATTAAGAATAACTCAAAAACTATTGGTCAGACCTTGATCAAATTATTTGGGACAACATGAGAAGTGCCAGCTTTCAAATAAAAAGAAATCATTGAAATCGATTCACTCAGAAAAAGTTTTGAGGTAACACACATTATAAACACACACAGTCGTATTGAATACCGTATCCTTTTTTAAGTCAGTAGAAAATAAAATCGAGCAATTTGTACGAATCATGAAGACGAGTTGCTATCGCGAACGAGGTACGCAATTAGATTAAAATCGTATTATCTACTTACTAAGAGCTTAAACATGTTATCTAATAATGATTCGTCCAATGAAAACAAGTTAGCAAAAGTAGCGATTCATCGTGAGTTTTTATAATTTTAATAATACTTTATTTTCACCATTTGCATATGCTAGGGTCACCATGCATACGGGCTCCCCCGGATTTATCATACTTTGGAGAGCGTTCAGGTAAGCGTTCCGGAATGTATCTGATCCCAGCAAAATCCAAAAACTTAAATTGACATTAAAACCACACTATATATTTTTTTAAAGTTACATCTTAAAAAGGAAAACACTTTAGCAAAAAATAATTAAAATTAGATTTTCGATTTTTCTTACTGCAGCTTACAATTGTTAAGCAAATCTGTATAATTGCTTAAAAATGTACAATATTTTTTGTAAGCAATTTTACAGGTATTAATGTGTAGGACGTCCCTAAAAGGGCCAACATAATAAAGTACTTGTACTTTTTAATGCGGGAAAATATCTGTTTCGATGTTAAATACTAAAATTTGTTCTTTTAAAAGAGAATTTATCACTGCTATGGCTTCGATAGTGTCACAATCACACATCAATCATGTTAAGCCAGTTATGAAATATCTTGACCGGCAACAGGAATCAGTGGAAAATATGTGATATGTCTGTCTGGTATTGCGATCGTCACTCCGTTTGCCAAGCGCGACAATCAAACAAATCTTCCTTACAATAAGAGAGGTCCATATTCGGCAGCGAATTTCGGCTGACGATGTAGAAGAAGAAGTTTCTAAATAAAAATGCAGAGACCATTATTTTACATGATGAAGGTATCTGCATTTTAATTTAGATCTATTTAGTGAAATTCTTTATTTCAGGTTTAACTAAAAATCAAAATAAAAGTTTTACCAATAGGTACGGGTTAATGTTAACAGGCTGTGGCGGCCATACTGTTTTGGCAACATCTGTCAAATCTATTGTTTATTATTTCGTTACTGATGCCAAATCATCATAGCAACTTACACGATTGAGCAATGCGTCGAAGTGATTAAACTTTATTATCAATATGAGTGCTCGTTAGTTGAAACGCGCGCTACGCCAAGTTTACAGCCGATGCGGTGGCCCTTCAAAGTCGATTCTGCAACGTTTGGTGGACAAATTCAAAACGACCGGTTAAATATATGCTAGTGTACAAGGGCAAGTGTAAAAAGTCGATGAGACCTCTCATATCGATGTGTTCGTAATGGCGGTTAATAATGCATAACACACTAACGAGTGATTTCGATGAGAACGATGTCCCGAAGCAAGTGCTTTAGCACTATATTAAGTAGTCTGTCTGTCTTTTAAATCTGCGGTGAGGCGATATGAAAACAAGTTTGACTGGCGAAGCGGAGTAATCACTCTATAACCCTCTAAGAAATGAGAAGAAGTCTGTGCTTAGCTGTAAAGATACATACATAAGCTGTTGATTGTTTCAGTATGGATAAGTCGCTAAAATAGTTCTTTGAGCAGATCGCATCAAGTCAAGATTGGCACTAGGAATAAAATATGGCAAATATTCCTTAAATTTCCCATAACCTAAGCTAAATGATATTTTCACATTAAAATTAACAATGCACAGTTTTTACTGATAATTATAATATATTATAATAAAACACCATTCGGTGTGTAAACACCTTAATAAATGTGATAACAAGTATGATACTGAAAAACTCATGACAGCGAAAAAATGGAAATATATAATGGGTTGAGACAATCGTTCGGCGTATTAGTCTTCATTGTGCACTGAAGTGTTAGTGTTTTTTAAATAATCAAAAATGATTTTCAAGCTGTTAATTGTATTCGGAGCTCTTTGTGCAATCTATTATTTAAAAAGATTATATAATGAATTTTACTGGAAAAAACGTGGTGTGAAGTTTTATCCAAAAGGTAAAGTCATTGGTCCTTTGGGTATATTCTTAACAACAAAACAGGCGTTATTTGAAATATTTATAGACATTTATAAAATGTATCCGAATGAGCCAGCAGTTGGAGTTGGTTCAATTTTAAATCCTGCTCTGTATGTTAAGGATCCAACAAATGTGCAGCATGTCTTAAGTTTAGATTTTAACTCATTTTATCACAGAGGTTTTGATGTGAATGAAAATGATCTACTTGCCAATAACATACTCTTTTTGAATGGGAGTAAATGGAAATTGATACGCCAAACCATGACACCGCTTTTTACGTCATCAAAACTAAAGAGTATGTATTACATAATAGATCGCAGTGCTCAAGATTTCGTTGAATATTTAAATAATCATCAAGAAAAATTAAAAGGTGACATGTTTAATACATTATCTACATTTAGTAGTGCTGCTATTGGAGCTGCTGTGTTTGGAATTGGAACTGAGTCAATATTTAATTCACCCTTCCTTAAAATGGCTCAAAATGCTATGACACCTACGTTTTCACAAAATATTAAGTTTGTGATATCTGCATTTAATGGAACTTTATACAAACTTTTGAGAATTAAACTATATAAACAACACGAGGAATTTTTCATTGGTGCTGTAAAGCAAGTTATCCGCCAAAGAGAACAAGAAAAAATAAGGAGGCATGACTTTGCAGACCTATGCGTAAATATACAAAATAATGGTGTCTTGAAAGACCCTGACAGTGGCTTGGAAATATATCCAACGGATGAAGTATTGGCAGCGCAAGCGTTCTTCTTCTTCATTGCTGGTGTTGAACCTAGTGCGGCCGCTATGCAAGCAACATTGATAGAATTAGGACGCAATCCTGACGCTCTAAAACGTGTTCATGATGAAATTGACAGCGCGTTTAAGAAACATAACAACACAATAACATATGACATCATTCAAGAAATGGAATATCTTGAAATGTCATTAAATGAGTCAATGAGAATTCATCCCTCGGTTGGATATTTAACTAGAGAATGCGTTCGTGATACCGTATTACCAGTTGGAAATATCAAAGTTGAAAAGGGTACCAAAATATTTACTCCTCTTTATGAATTTCATCACGATTCAAACATATTTCCAGATCCCCAAGTTTTTAAGCCGGAGAGATTTTCCCGCGAAAATCGGAGTACAATAGCATACAATGTGTTTATGCCATTTGGTAAAGGCAACAGACTTTGTGTTGGTACAAGATATGCCACATTGCAAGTGAAAGCAGGGTTAGTTCACTTATTACGAAACTTCACGGTCAAGACAGAAATAGGCGAAGGAGGAATTAAGTACAAAAAGCATCATACACAAGTACGGCCATACAATCTAAGGATCGAACTATTTCCTAGAAATAAGGAAAGGATTGAATAGATCTAGAATTATAGTTTTATAGTTTTAGGAAGTCAATAACAAGGATTTAGAGGTGACTTGTAAAATCTTATTATTTTTTTATTTTCATGTATGATTCTTTACTGTAATATTAAAAAGTAAATAAAAATAAAATAAAAACAAAATAAAATCAATTTATTTCAAACTGAGTCCATACAAGTAACATTTACAATATAATAAATTTTATGTTAATTTTTAAGAAAATAAACCTTTTTTATTTTTTTCCTATAAAATAAAAGTTTGTGGATAGATGAGAAGGAAGAGGATACAATAAAAAAGTTGAAGGAAATATTTTAATTAATATTTTTTCTGTTTGTTTCTATCTATCTTTTTTTTTTGTAATTAATTAATAAGCAAAGTTTTCTGTGAAAGTATAAAGGTAAATTAAAGTCATATTCTTTCTAAGTTCTACTGTTGGCAAGCCTCCACTCACTTCTGAGTGTCTTATGAAGCAGTTATTCACGCTGATCCTCTGCTTGTTGGTGCAATTTATACATCACGAGTGGTATGAAATTAAAGCGCTAGACAATAGGCTTTAACCAATATATTTTTGTATTTATATTAAAAGCGAAGTACTTAGCAGTCTATATGTACGAGCATCTATGTTCCACTGTTTGGTACAGGATTCCACTGGTTTTCTAAGGGATTTTTAATTTTTCAGACATGCAGGTTTCCTAACGATGTTTTCCTTTGCCGCCAAGTTCTAGGAATAAACGAATAGGATAGAGATAATTTATTTTTAATTGTTTATATCTTGACTAATTCGAGGATATTTAGATGAGTACAAGCTTATAAAATCCATTAGCCAACAAGTCACGGCCTATTAGTTATTTTTATTATTTTTTGTTTTTCACCAAAGCTCGAATAATAATTTTTAGCCGCTACTATTTAAATACATTTATAAATAATTTTAAAGTAAATAAAAGACCAACAAAACTTGAGTTATTTCCGTTTTACTGTACAGCGGTAGGAATTAAAAAGTGTACTCTATTGTCTCTTCACAATACAAATTGGAAATCAGATTAAATTTTAAAATTTAAATGGAGCTGAAGTCGACAGAGCAATTTTAATGAGTCTGCTCAATTGATTTTGTATAAATATTAAATAAGAATTATTTTTATTAATGCTTAATTTACCTCAATTTAACAGACTGTAAACAATTCAAGTTGGGGATTGACGAACCAGAAAGATTTATTATTTGCTCCACACTGGTCAAACAGAATGGACCGAGCGCCTTGAATTTTACCGTTCTAAATATTTTCAAGTCTGACATTTGTTAATCTGGTTATATTGTTAAGACAATGTCAAGTCAAATGAAAATGAAAATGCAAAGTCAATGCGTGGTACCAGACATCCCCCAGATAATCACGTAAATTTTTCTAATATTCTCCTTGACGTATCTCTATAAAGGCAGCAATTTTGTGGCGTTAATAATTTTCTTAATCATGGATAGTAGTGTTTATGGGTTACTTTCTTTTAAGTGAGGTGTGTACTTGATACACTGATACTATTTTGGAATAAACAAAATGTAAGCACTCCCTCACAATTGTGGGTTTGGTTTGAGTTACCACATGATAGTAACTAAATTTTAGAACGTAATGAATGCCATAACAATACTAGCAGGCGTCTGAATGACACATTGCAACGCGTAATCACGCTCCCTATTAATTATTATATCGATGGTTGCTCCTCAGGGTTCAGTTCATGGTCCTTTTCTGTTCTTAGTTTATATTAATGATTCACTTATGGTAGGGACTTTGTAGGGAATAATCATAATATAGTATTATTTGCTGATGATACTTCGTTGATTTTCCGACTAAAAGGGCAATTATTGAAATATAACAAAGTGAATAATGCTATATCAAATGTTGTAGACTGGTTTAACATTAGTACTTTGCTTTTTAACGTAATAAAACGAAATACATTAATTTTTTTTTGCAGTTGACGCGAAGCATCTAGGGAGCCCTCATATATCTAAACTAGCTAGCAAAAAAGTTTATTTTAGTTATTTCCATAGCATAATTTCATATGGGTTCTTCCTATGGCGTAATGCAACTGACATTGAAACTGGATTTGTTTTGCAAAAGAGAGACATAAGAGCAATTTACAACCTTGGTCCGAAGGAATCCCTTAGAGAAAAAATTTAAAGAAATAAATATATTTACTTCTCTAACTAATTAGTCTCTCAATATATTTACGAGAATTTAATGTATATACACAAAAACTGAAATAGTTTTATTAAAAATAGTGATATAAATTCTGTAAATACTAGGAACAAGAACAAGTTAGTTATACCAGTTACTCCGAAGAGTCAGTAACTCCTTTTAGGGGCTATGTATACGCTTTTACAACAAAGTCCCAGAAAATGTGCACATCTTTTCTATCAAATTTCTAATTACGATTATTAAAATGTTATGATTGATAGGTAGGTATATATAAAGATTAATACTTTATTGCAAATTCTTCATATATACCTAGTCAGGTCATAAGTATAGTTACACAGTAAAAACTTATCTTTTAGAATGCTGGCCACAAAAAAGTTTATTGAATTCGAATTTCGAATTGTTCATGAAAATAAAACTGCATAATTTTTAGAATTTTACTCATTTTTAAATATGGAGTGGACGCTTAAAGAAGACCGTGTTGCAGTTATTGCGTTGCATCGTTGCGGTTACGCGCCATTTCAAATATTTGACATACTGAAAAATTTGAATATAACCAAAGTATTCCTTTATCGTACCATCAAACGATACAATGAAGACTCTAGTTTAGATGACAGGTCAAGAAGTGGTCGCCCTCGGTCTGTTAGGACTCCAGCAGTGATAAAAGCTGTGAAGGCGCGAATTCAAAGAAATCCCAAACGTAAGCAGAAACTGTTGGCCTTTCAGATGGGGTTAAGCAGAACAACGGTGAAAAGGGTGTTAAATGAAGACTTAGGGCTTCGGGCATATCGAAGAAAAACAGGACGTCGTTTGAATGCTCGTCTAATGGACCTGAGACTAAAGAGATGCTGCGCTTTTTTGAAGCGGTACGCGGGAAAAAAATATCGGGAAATTCAGATGAAAAAATTTTTAACATAAAAGAGAGCTACAACAAACAAAATTATAAGGTGTACGCACACAGTAGTGAAGAAGCGAGCAACCGTATTCCGCGTGTCCAACGAGGTCATTTTCCATCCTCGCTCATGGTATGGTTGGGAGTTTCTTATTGGGGCTTAACAGAGGTACATTTTTGTGAGAAAGGTGTAAAAACGAATGCAGTTGTGTTTCGAAATACAGTCCTGACAAACCTTGTAGAACCTGTTTCTCATACCATGTTCAATAACAGGCACTGGGTATTCCAACAAGATTTGGCGCCAGTTCATAGAGCGAAGAGCACACAAGACTGGCTGGCGGCGCGTGAAATCGACTTCATCCGGCACGAAGACTGGCCCTCCTCCAGTCCAGATTTGAATCCGTTAGATTACAAGATATGGCAACACTTGGAGAAAAAGGCGTGTTCAAAGCCTCATCCCAATTTGAAGTCACTCAAGACATCCTTGATTAAGGCAGCCGCCGATATTGACATGGACCTCGTTCTTGCTGCGATAGACGACTGGCCGCGCAGATTGAAGGCCTGTATTCAAAATCACGGAGGTCATTTTGAGTAAACTTTAGTGCCATAAGAATCTATGTTTTGTTAAGTTCATTTTGGTATATAAATGGTTACATAATGAATAAACTTGTTTCAATTATTTTATATTAAACATGTGACAGAATTTATGACCTGACTAGGTATAATATAACATTTGTTAAAAATTACATTGATTTGTGTAAGAACTTAAATTTTTCTTCTTAGGTTTCCCATACAATCAATTAATTAAATACCTGAATAGATTACTTTTGTCTTTTTATAATTAGTAAATGAAAGGCAATAGATTACAATCTTTGTTGTCTTTTTGATTTATCGAACCCAATGCGGAAAGGAACCTTATTATAAAAACAAACCTGAAAATTAAAAAAAGGAAAATTCCAGCAGAAATTCGCAGAGTACATCCGAATAAAGTATCGGTTGAAATAATTGTCACCTAATGCCGCGATATTTTCAAAATTGTTGCAACATATACATTGCAACAAAATTCTAACCAAATATATACTTAAATAATTTTCAATAGGTATATTATGAAATTATCAGTTACTTGACTCTACAGAATCAGTAAGTCATTCATGGGACAATGAATACACTGTTATAACGAATTCCAGAAAATATAATATTTCTCTATAAGCAGTTTTAATTTTTTATAAAATTATAAAGACTCTATTATAAGTGTTATTATAAGATAAATGAATACATTGTTGATAATAACCAATGGAAATATCGTGATCACTGTCTTGTGAGTAAAAAATTAAAAAAATTACTGGAAAGATTTTTTAAAACTTATATTAAATTTTAAAAAAATCATGACATGACACATTGTATTGTAGAACCGTGCTGCTGCTGTATAATAGCTAAAAATGAATGGATTCACGAAAAACCATATATTAATAGGATGAAACAAGAGCACAAAGGTGATATGTTTGATAAGTTGAGTGTCAAGAAGAGGAAATGCTTTTTTCTAATGAATATTTTTGCATCGTAGTCGTTGAGTATAACAATGCATCTGTATTTTGATTCTTTATCCGAGGAGCTATGTGTTTTGTGGGCCACTTTATCATACCTCTGAGGACTAAGATGAAATGTTAATTTATTTATTTTATTAAACAGTTTATGTACATACATAATTCGATAGGACAATGGCAAAAACATAATTATGTACAAAGGCACTGCGTATTCCATGATGAAATTTCTTCCAGCAGGCCTATTGAAGGATAGTTGAAAGAAATAGAGGTAGTCAAAGTGTGCACTTATACAAATATATAAAAAGTAATAATATATATTATTTAAAAAATATATACTTCAATATATATTTTTAATGTTACTTATATGTATACCAACACCTTATG